AGTTTGATTTTTCTTTAATATTTCAATTTCTTTAGTGAATTTTTCTTCCAAGTCCTGGATTTTTTTTGTAGCTTCTTTTGTTGTTTATCCAATTTTTCTTGTATATCATTGAGTTTTCTTATAATCCATGTTCGAAATTCCTCTTTTGTCATATTAGTGTTCTGAGTTTCATTAATGTCCATTGCTAGAGAGCTGGTGTTCCTCTTTGGGGATGTACTTTCTGTTTGATTCTTCACAATTCTGGAGTTCTTTCGCTGGTTCCTTCTCATCTGGATCAGTTGTTCCTTCTTGCCTTTAGATTTTCATTTGGATAATGACACTCCCTGTTTAGCGTCTGAGCCAGTAGGTGGCGCTTGTGGGTGGGATTCGACCACACCCTCTGTGATGAGTCAGTAGATGCAGTACAAGTGTTTGCAGAATGACCTCCCTGTCAGTAGGTGGCACTTGCTGGGAGGAACAGGCTGCAGTGTTGTTTTTGGGTCCTGTAACCAGCTCTTGTTCCTCTGGAGAGGCTCTCTTATGCCTCAGGTGGTGGGTGGGGCCGTGGAACTTCCAGGTGTGTCCTTATTCTCCACCTCAGTGGGGGCAGGTCTGGGAGTGAGTCTGGGCGGAGCTGGGTTGGGTGAGCCTACCCTCAAGCTCCACAAATGCTGTTAGCAGGGGTCAAAGGTCTGTTTTCTGCTTCTGTTCAAAGCTACCAGGGAGGGGCTGAAATGGCCCCACTCAGCTGAAAAGTCTGCGTGTGAGGGTGGGGCTGTCTGAGACCTGGACTCTGGAGCAGGCCTGGCTCCTTTCCACCCTCCCCTATTCTATAGTTTCTCCCGGGCCTCTGCCAGCAAGCAGGGCCTCAGGCCAGTGGATTTCTCCTGGCTGTGATGTGGGCCAGGAGGTTCCCTGCCCAGGATCGCAACCTGAGCTGGGTGCACGGCCCTCTTTTGGGAGGAGAGTTGCCCCTCAAGTATGCTGATCTGCCCCTAAAGGCACACACTCCTCAGTAGGCTGGTTCACAAATATCCCTTCTGTGCCCTGGGGCAATGCGATCGAGACCTGGGTGTACGAGGTCTGGTCTGCAGGCCTGTCCTGTGGACCCTGGAGATCAATCCCTGACTCTGCCAGGGAGACGAGTGCTGGTGTCGAGTCACCCATGCCCAAGCTGGATTGATGTCACTCCATCTCGGGATTTGCCCCACTCTCCTGGAGTCACCAGGCAAGCAGCACCTGGGAGGGCTGGCAGGTAGGGAGCTCACAGTCTGAGTACCCCTCAGTCTGCCATAGGGCCCCAAAAGGAAAAGTCCCATTCCTTGGAGATGCCTCCATGTGATGGCTAAATTGTCTCTCTGGGCACCCACGGGTAGGGAAGGGGAAGGGGAGAATGGAGCAATGTGGTGCCTGCTGATGGGCTTGGGTCTGCATGTGGGGAGGTGCCCCGAGGGAGCAGGGAGCCTGGTGCCCTGTGCACAAGAGGCTCACTGCTCACTGGCAGCAGCCGTCTCTGGGCTGGTGTTGGCAGGTCTCTCCAACCGCTCAGGGGCCCACCAGCAGTCCAAGATGCAAGGGAGGGGAAAGTGATCTGCTCCACCTGCCCTTGTCACTGATCTCCAAGCCTCTCGGGGTTGGACCCTGCTGATGCCTTTCTCCTTGAGTTCTATTCCACAACATCTTCCCGTGGAATCTCCTGTAATTTCAGGCACCCTTCCTTCCAACCCTCATCCAATCTATGTTTTTCTGCTAGTTTATTTTTTTCACTGTCTTCTAAAATCTGTCTTTTTTGCAGAGACACTCTGACTGGCGGCTTTTCTCGTCTGTCATCTTGGGATCGAGCCAGCTGGAACTTTCTAGTGCAAGAAGTGTTTATTAGAGGAGAAGCAAGTCACAAAGAAACCAAGATGAGTAAGAGCAAAGATGATGCTCCTCATGAGCTAGAGAGCCAGTTTATCTTACGCCTACCTCCAGAATATGCCTCTACTGTGAGGAGGGCAATTCATTCTGGTGGTGGCAACCTGAAGGACACACTGTCAGTTGAGTTACACCCTGATGGACGTCATGGAATCGTCAGAGTGGACGGGGTCCCATTAGCCTCCAAATTGGTAGACCTGCCCTGTGTTACGGAAAGCTTGAAAACTAGCGATAAAAAAACCTTTTACAAGACGGCTGATATCAGCCAGATGCTTGTAGCTACAGTTGATGGTGATCTCTGTCCTCCTGTGGAAGAGCCAGTTGCTAGTGCCGATCCCAAAGCAAGCAAGAAAAAGGATAAGGAAAAAGAGAAAAAGTTTATCTGGAACCAAGGAATTACTCCACCTCTAAAAAATGTCAGAAAAAGAAGGTTCCGGAAGACAGCAAAGAAGAAGTGTACTGAATCTCCAGATGTGGAAAAAGAAGTGAAACGGTTGCTGAGTACAGATGCTGCAGCTGTCAGTACTCAGTGGGAAATAATTGCTGAAGATGAAACAAAAGAGACAGAAAATCAAGCCCTTGATATCTCTTCTCCAGGAATGTCTGGTCATAGGCAGGGCCATGACTCATTAGAACATGATGAGCTTTGGAAGATATTCAATGACCTTAGCAGCAGCAGTGAAGAGGAAGATGAGACACAGCATCAAGATGAAGAAGATATAAACATCATCGACACTGAGGAAGATCTGGAGAGGCAGCTACAAGACAAGCTAAATACATCAGATGAACAGCACCAAGAAAATGAAGGAATGAATCAGCTGGTTATGGGAATTCAGAAACAAATTGATAACATGAAAGGCAAACTCGAAAAGACCCAGAAGAGGGCAAAACGACAGGAGTGTCTCATTATGAAAGTGGAAAATCTGGCTCTCAAGAACAGATTTCAGGCTGCTCTGGATGAACTCAAACAAAAGGAAGACCGAGAAAAGGAGCAGCTTAGCTCTTTGCAAGAAGAGCTAGAATCACTCCTAGAGAAGTGAGAAGAATTTTTATACTTTCAGTCCTTAGACTGGTCACCATTAGAAAAACCTTGCTTCATCATTTGGGGTAGATATTAAGGCCTTGCAGTAGTTCCCATTCCCTCCATTGCTGGATGTTCTGTTGAATTATCTCCTGTGTTTGTAATTTTGTTTAAAGCAAAATCTCATTTTGTTAGTTCATCCTATAAGAAGTAGGGTTCTATTTGCAGAAAAATGATTGTAGGAAAGTTAGAGGATTATTGGAATGACTAGTTCAACCTCAGTAATCACAGCTTCACTGCAGGACTTTGCTACTGTTTCTCCACGTGTCAGAAGCTGGTGTTGCTGTAGTGATGCCATCTAAGATCAATAAGAAGAACCTAGTCTGGAGGCAGTGAAGCTAGTTTGCATATGTTTTTCCATGCCACAGCTATTTTCACAGCTATTCAAAGCAGTTTCCCAAATGTAGAGATGCAAATCATTTCATAAAATTGTTTTCAACACAATAAATAAAAACAGCTAATTTTCACCTTAAAAAAAAAAAAGTCTCAATATAACAAATGCTGGTGTGGATGTGGAGAGACCAGAACACTTTTACACTGCTGTGGGACTCTAAATTAGTACAATTCCTGTGGCAAGTACCTTGGAGACACCTCAGAGAGCTAAAAAATAGTATACCATTTGATCCAGCAATGCCACTACTAGTCATCTATCCAAAGGAAAAAAAGACATATGCACTTGAGTATTTATAGCAGCACAATTTACAATTGCAAAGATGTGGAAACAACCCAAATGTCCATCAATCAATACATGAGTGGATTAATAAAATGTGGTGTATGTATATCATGGAATACTATTCAACTACAAAAAACAATGGTGATCTAGTACCTCTTATATTATCCTGGATAGAGATTGAGCCCATCTTTTGAAGTTAGGTATCACAAGGATGGAAAACATGCACCACATATACTCACCATCAAGCTGGGACTAATTGATCAACACTAAGGTGCTCACATGGTAGTCATACTCACTAGGTGCCAGTCAAGTGGGGGGATGGAGGGGTAGGAGGTAGAGGGAGTGGGGAGGGTAAATCCACAACTAATGGAGACGGTACGGATTGTATGGGGGAAGGACATGCTTGTGGCCCTGGCTTGAGCGAAGCAAATGTATTTCATGCCACCAAAATGTTTGTATTCCCGTAATATCCTGAATTTAAACAAAAAAATTAAAAAATTGAAAAAACAAAAATCCACTAGAAATCAGAAGATTATGCAATGACATTTTTGAAGAGCTGAAAAATAGAAAACAAAAACTCTCAATCCAGAAATATATAACCAGAAAAAATATTCTTCAAAAATTAAGATAAAATCCGTTTTCAGATATTGAAACTAAGAAAATGTGTTATCAATAGGATCTGTTAACACAGAGTGATAAAGGACATCCTTCAGGGCAAAGCAAAATTCTAACAAATGGACACTTAGGTCTGCTGAAAGAGATGAAGACTAGCACAAATGATAAATATATGACTATATTTGCCACAGTTTATTCAACTTCTACTTATATTTCTCACAAAGACGTTTCTGTTTCTCTGTCCAGACATAGCACCGGGATTAGTAGTCTCCAATGCAAATATGTGTTCTTATCTTTTTAAGTCAAAAGCCCATTCCTAGGCCCTAGTCATATGGATGTTTGTGTATGGTAATTCCCAATAAAACAAATAAGCAAACAAGTAATGCTCCTTGCTTGTAGCTTAATATTTAATATATCCTAAGCATCTTTATTCAGCACTATCTATGTTTGTTTCTTTATGTATCTTTGGCAACACAGTTTTCCCAGAAATGTTTCAAGACTTTTTTATTTGGACCTTAAAAAAGGGAATATGGGTATAAAAACACAAGGTATGTGTCTCCAGTGTCTGGTGGTTTGTAATGCTTGCTGATGTAATAAACATTGCCCTTCAATCTCCATGCCTTAACATGATAAAGGAGACTTCGCAGTCCCTTAGTGTCCAGCTGGTTGCGATAGGGAAGCTCTGGCCTGTTCTTCAGGAAAGAAGGTGGACAGTAGCTCTTTCATCTTAGTTGGAAGCTTCTAAAGTCACTCTTTGTCTTCACATTTAGCTGGAAAATAACATAATGAAATATGGATTGTTCTTCCTCTAAAGTTTCAACACGGTCATGGCTTTTGTTTGAAGAGACTAAGGAGAAGGAAAATAAAAGGTATAAGGAGAAGGTTTATAATAAGCAGTGGAGGAGGTCAAACTTTAAAAGCAGAATTTCTTAATACCCCATCTCAATCATATCTTTCCTAATACCAACAATGCCTTCTCAGTCCAATTAACCTAACATAATTGAAAGTGCTCCTAGAGATCAGGTCAGCAGATAGCTGATGGACAGCAGTGAAGGGGGAATGATTGGAGGGGCAAAACACAAACTAAGCAGTGAATGAAAGACATGGGGAACAGGTCACGAATATGAAGACAAATGATAGGAGTGATAAAGAAGAAAATAAAGCATGAATATATTACCAAAAGTGAGATTTCAGAGAAAAGAGACTCTCTCATTCAGGGTAAAGATCAGTTAAGTCTTTGAAACCTAAGATTTAGCAGATTTTTTTTTTTTGTGAAGCGTAAAATGAATGGTTAATACCACCTATATTCAGTCTTCAAACTTTGTTTTTTTAACTCTTTTTCCCTTTAGGCACTACCCTTTTGGTAGTCTCTGAAGTCTTTAGGGAAAATCTAGGCCTTGAAGGGCTCTGTTTAAAAACCACTGGCTGGTAAGTAGCCTGAGGTCGTTTCTGTAAATATTTAATAATACCTTTATTGGGATTCCTACTGCTACCACCAATCATCTCATTTTTGGTAAAATCCTACTTGTTTTATAGAGCTCATCTCTAAAATAATGCCCTCCCTGAAACCTTCATTGACCCTGTTCTAAAACCCAGATAGAATTACCATGCTCTCTCTGGTTCCATTGCCCTGGGTCTGACTCACTAGTGTGACAATACCACTTTGTGTTTCTGTAGGTGGCCTAATAACATTTTTAGCTCCTGTAGCAACTTTATTTTCTCAATGACAAGCACAGTGCCCAGTCTATAACACTTGCTCTGTAAGTAGGAACAGAAATGTTTAAAACTTAACTGAATTCATTTGAATTGACTTGAGTTGCATTGAATAGAGTTGAGTTGACTGAATGGAACAGAGGTTAAAGGAAAACTAGAAAGGGCTTGCCTTGTCTAAGAAAGGGCTTAAGCTTAACTGGAGTACAAGTAGTATGAAATTACTGTGAGGTAAGTTTCTGGATTTTTTGATTAGCCCAGTGATGAAGCACTCAGATGATAAGAGAAAATGGAAAAAAGAAAACTTTAAAATATTACAAATTCCAACTAATACCTAACTGGATTCAGCATCAATAGTTCAAGCTGATGATTGGATATATTTGTATACAATTTTTATGCAGTAAAAATCTCATAATGTGAACTAAAGTTGATTGTGTGCATTAAGAATTATGGATCTCAAAATACAGTGCAATTGGTGCCTTAATATTTGGCAGAGGGAAAGAGTTGAGAAATTTGTTAAAATGGGGAAAAGACTGTTTTTCCAACACAGAAACATGAGAAAGAAGGAATACTCAAGATAATATGTAACATTAATAAAAATGACAGGAAAAGTAAAAGAAAATGATGAGCTAAGGAGCGTTTTTGAACACCCACTATGCCAGGCGCTCTTGCTAGATACCTTTAACACATAATACCATTATTTCTCCCAACAACCTGGAGATTTTACAGATAAAAAACAAGACTTAGGAAGAATAGGAAATTTGTCCAGGGTTATATACATTTGACGATCCAAACACAGATACATTCAATTTCAAAACACATGCCTTATCTAGGAAATCAACCGTAAATCTGCATGCCTTGTCATTATTCTGTAATATGGACAATTGTACCTGTTTTTCCCAATTTCAGATACCACGATTTCAGTTACAGTTTTGAATTGGTTTTAACTGTTTCAGGTTAACAATTCCTGATATTTTTTGAAGTTGTTCATTAGTTTGTTTGTATATCACTTGGAAATACATAATATTGTTATAAAGGATTAATTAATAATACTGGCCAGAAGACTTCCAAGTAGCTACAGGCAACAGCAGGTGGGTAGTAGAAAATTTCCTAAAGTCTCCCTTCCCCCAACAGTATGAAATAACTTCACACCTATGAAAATTCAAAGCAAAACTACACTCTCAAAATTACTTGAACACATAGAAAACAGAAAGAGCAAAATAATCACTGGTAAGAGAACAATAAATAAAAACAAGCACCACAGAAGTCTCATGTGCTCAGTCTCCTGGCTGCCCTCTGTGTGACCAGCAAGCACAGACCCAGGAAGTCAGACTAGCAATGCTAACTAAGGGGCCTGATTGTGAGTTGGTGTGACCAGTGTTATGGACTGTTTGTGTCCCCCCCAAAATTTGTAGGTTGAAGCCATAATCAAATGTGATGGCGTTAGGAGGAAGGCCATTTGGGAGGTAATTAGGTTTAGATGAGATCTTGAGGGTGGAGCCTTCATGATGGGATTAGTGCCCTTATAATAAGAGACACTAGAGAGGTTACTTCCTCTTCCTTTCTCCACCATGTGTAGATACAGTGAGAAAGCAGGCATCTACAAGCCAGGAAAAGGGCCCTCACCAGAACCCAACCATGCCGGTGCCATGATCTTGGACTTCCAGCCTCCAGAATTGTGAGAAATAAATGTCTGTTGTTTAAGCGACCCAGTCTATGTCATTTGTTATAGCAGTCTGAAGTGACTAAGACAAACAGAAAAAATAAATCCACTTTAAATTGGGGTAGTGGAAATAACTGAACAGAACAAACCAATAACTGCACAGAATGGATTTCAAAGTGTGTCTTAAAGGGGAAGATTCAAAAAAATAAATAAATAATCTTCAACCTTTAGAAAGCAAAATCGCAGAAGATGAAGAAGATATACAGAGACTAGGAGACCTAACTAGGTTAGAGTGAGG